ATGTCCCCAGTTTGGGGGCGGCTTGACTTCTTCCCTTCTCTCTGTACCCCTGCCCAGGCTGCGGAGAGGCCTCCCCGGGGAAGTGAGGTCCAGCCAGCCCCGCGGAGGCTCTGCCCTGCTCAGCTGTGCAGTCCCAGGGGCAGGGGTTGCCGGGGCTGCCTTTGTTGTGTCCCCTGAAGGTCCCTTGGGGGCGGGAAAGAGAGGCAGGTGAGAAGCCGAAGGCTCCCGCCTGCGGCGTCAGGGTGGGGCACACAGGACAGGAACACAGGCAAAGCCGGGGGAAATCAGCCCGGTTTCCTAAGCCCTTAGCGCGAGCCAAGTCGTCAGCAGTGCGCGAGCTCCCGCACTCGTGAGCACGCAGCAGCCACCACCAAGACCCGGCACGCACCGGGGCGTCATTACATCCACATTTGCCTCTTCCCCTGTGTTCCCTGGAGCCTCTCCTAAGAATTCCGGGGAAGGAGGAATAGGAAGGTGCTCTCGAGGGCTTGGCAGTCAGCCCTGGTATGACAAAGACCCCAGAAGCTCAGACGGAGTTCAAATCCCAGCTGGATCACTTTGTAGACGTCCCCGTGATAGAGACACTAGCCTCTCTCACCTCCTTAGAGACATGAGGGTAACAGGCACCTGGCAGGGGTTCACGAGACTAACTGACGGAGCACAAGTCCACATTAGCAGGCACACAGAAGGCAATCAGGGAAGTTGGTTTCCTCCCCTAAAACCACAGATTAATGATAGAGAGCAACTTCCCAAAGTCATCCCAGCTCCGTCCAGAGGCCTAGGAGGACACATGATCCAACCAACTGCTGAATCAGATGTATAAAAGCCCTTCTGAAAAGGGAAGTGGGAACAGGCCGTGATGACAAAGGTCAAGAACCAGTGGCCTCTAGGTTTAAGAAAATGAAAAGACATTCAAATTTTCTTGGCCCACATTTTTTTCCCCTAAATGAGCCCCCGGGGGAGATCATGATGTCCTATACCTCAGTTGTCCCCTAGCCTCTTTCTCTGGCTCAGTATAGTAATTCAGGTTGAGATGCCAGACGTCCAAGGCTACAAGGCAAATAGTCAGGTGTCGGGGCTATCCTGTGGCTTGTGGGAAGGTCTCCTCTCTGCAGAGAAGGAAGGGATTTGTTCAGTCCTGGGCTCCCACCTGATACCAAGTCAGAGAGGGGAGCGCTGCCTCCTGAATAAAGTTGTGGGCCCCTGGCGCCTCCCGGCTGGCACTCTGCCCCTTCCATGCCTGCCTCTGCCCAAAGCCGCCCAGGGACCTGCCAGAGATGCCAGATCATGCTGAATAAAGGCAGCTTCTGCTATCGGTTCTCTGGTGCCCAAATCCCGGGAGAGCTAGCCCAGGGCAAGGGGGCCCCCGGCACCCCCGGCAATGCCCTCTCCTCCATTCCCAGTTTGGAAGGTCCAGCTGCCCACACAGATGAAGTTGTGGGCCATGCCTGCTGGAGTTTCAGGGCCTGCGGGGTGGGAGAAGGCCTTTACACCCCAAGTCCACACGTGCCCCGGGCCCACCACGTGCACTGCACTACACCTGGCTCTGGGATCCCCCTGGTGCCCCTCGTTCATCTGAGCCTGTGCCTCTGTCCTTCCAGCTGTCTGGGTCAGGGCAGGAGGCTTGGGAGAGGTTGGGAGGAGGTGTGTCACAGAAAGCCTTCCTCAGCCCACCCACTCCACAACCCCGTCTGAAGGCCTGAGGTGGGTGAGTCCCTCGAATGCTCACATTCACCTCCCACTCAGCAGCGATGCCCATCTCCAGACAGGTCACCCTCATGTGTCCAAATTGGCAGTGAGGAGGCAGGTGTCTCTGCCACCCACAGGCCCACAGGCATCTCCAGCAATGTCTTTAAATGAAATTGTAATTGAATGCCTACACGTAAGAAAACATATATGCAAACTGTCATTTAGTCATCTGATAAACACCAAATGGCCTTTAAAATATGAACATGGACAATGTAATACATGGAACCTCGCCCACTGAATGAAAAAGTGAAACACCAAATGGAAGGTATGCACCCATCATCATCCTGTATCAAGCACACTCAGATAGCAACCAGGGTCGGAAATGATTCCTATGATAGTCAATCAGTTAGGATTTGATGCATGCAAAGTTCTTTTGATCTGTAAGGCTAAATGAATGATTTTTAATGGGTCTCTAATAGAAACCCATTTCCTCTCCACTTATTTGAAAATCAGATTGAAACCAGAGCCTAAAAGACGGTGTAGCCCAGCAGGGCAGGGACAGCCGAGCAGCTGGGGCCAACTACACCTGCCCTCCACGCTGCCGCCCTGGTGCAGCCAAGCGGCGGCCTCGCTCCTGTGAGGTGTCAGCTGCAGGCTTCTGCTCAAGGCAGAGACCAAGCATCCTGACACAGTGAAGAGTTGTGCTGGCCCCAACAGGCCCCCAGAAGAGCTGCTCGGGCCCTCAGAGGTTCCAGCTGATGAATCGCCAGCCAGTGTTTAGCACCAACAGGAGGCTGGGGCAGGGGGTGAGCAGAAGACGATCCAGGACTGCTGGCCCGGAAGGAGGGGACAATTCCTACTCCATCTTGTTGGGGTGGCACACACTTGGAGGCAACGTGGGTGCCCAATATCCTTAGGGAAGTGACCAGGTAACCGCAGTGTCTGCAAAGCGCTCATCCACTAAGAAAAATGGGTTAGACGCACATGCAGAACGCGAGTGGGCTCAAAATACAGGGCCGAGGGGCGCCTGGGTGGCTCAGTCGGTTAAGCGACTGCCTTCAGCTCAGGTCATGATTCCGGGGTCCTGGGATCAAGTCCCCGCATCGGGCTCCCTGCTCAACGGGGAGCCTGCTTCTCCCTCTCCCTCTGCCTGCCACTCCCCCTGCTTGTGCTCACTCTCTCTGTCAAATGAATAAATAAAATATTAAAAAAAAAAAAAAAAAGTGTTGCCAGGACAGTTACCTTTGACTTTCAGATCAGCAACAAACAATTTTTTAAGGACCTAACTAGGTCCCAAATATTTCATGGGACATACTTCTGCTAAAAAGTTATTTGCTGTTGATCTGAAATTCAAATGTAACTAGGCACCTTGAATTTGCTCAATCTGGCAACTCTAAACAATAATAATAGCAGTGACAGGCACTGTTACTAAGTATTTAATTCACTTGTCTTGTTTTCCTCTTCAAACAACCCAATGAAGAATGTATTGCTATCCTCTTTACACAGACTTGGAAACTTTGACTCCCAAGGAGCAAGTCATTCACCCAAGACTGTGAGGCTCGTTGATGCCAGACCCAGGATGTGAACATCTGTCTCTGGGCTCCAGAGTCCACCCTCCTGAGCATGATGCTGTTTCCCAACTGAGGAGCTGAACAAGGCCCAGGCCTCCACTCCCTGACACACAGAGACAGGTGTGGGGACTGAGCCTCCCACAGCAGCAGTGCCAGGAGCTCCTTGTCTGGTCCTCAGAACAAACCACTGCCTCAAGAAACCTTCCCACCAGACTCCAGTTCGAGGAACCAAGTGAGCTCTGGGTTCTAAAAAGTGAAAATCAAGGGAGCAAGGGAGCCCCAGTTAGTCTTCAAAGAGCACAATGTCCCTACACTGGTGGAAAGATTGAGAGAAGCACCTCCAAGGTTAAGGGTCTGGATAAGCAGTACAGGTCAGGAGGACAAGGGTCTGAGCCAAGCCACATGCCATCCTTCCTGGGGTGAGAGAAATGGATGAATGACCCCTGAGGGCCCCTTCCAGTTTGGGGTATTAACCTGAATCTTACACAACAGGTGAGAATGGCACCACACCCCTCAGCATGACTCTATTTAAAAGAGTCTTAATGAGCATTTATTGAGCACCTACTACGTATTACACATTGTGCTAGGTGTTTTCATTGCCCCAACTATTGATGGGGCCTGTAAAACTACAGCCCAGCAGGGCATTTAACTGTTTTGCAGATGAGGAACGTGAGATTCGGGGAGATCACTTATTTATTCAACTAACACTTGTTAAGCGCCTACTACACTACTTTATTCTTCAGACTCTGTCCTAGGTGCTGGGGATATAGAAGTGAACCAAACAAGACCCCTGCCTTCATGAAGCTGGTTGGGGCACAGGTAAAAAACCAAATCTATCATGTTGTTTCAGGTAGCAATGCTAAGTGTGATGAAGGAAAGTAAAGCATGGTCAAGGAACAGAGTGAAGGGGTGGGAGTACTATAGCTAGATGGTCAGGAAGATGTCTGGAAAGAGATAACATTTAGGCAGAGGTCTGAAGTGAGGGAATAAGCATGCACAGGTCTGGGGAAGGGTGCCCAAGGCAGTGGGGACAACCAGTGCAAAGACCCTGAGGTAAGGGTGACCAAAACACAACCAAGATAAGGCCAAAGGGCTGGAGCAGGTGCGGGAGGGTAAGAAAGGTAGAAGATGAGTATGGAGGGGATGGTTAGGGCAGGTCATCTTTAAAGGATCACTGTGATATGAAGAAATGGATCGATGGATGAATGAATGGATGGAAGGATGGATAGATGGATATGGAGATAAATGGATTTCCATGGATTCCCTTAAGCTGCTACTGACCAAAGTTGAGAACATATATCGCTCACAAGTTGATAAAACATGTCCAATGTTCAGTTTCCAATGAAGCACCTCCCTCAGAGGGCCCCAGGCAAGCACATTCCTTAGTGAAGTATATCCCCTATAGAGGAATGTGATCCCAAGTTCAACAGGCAATCTGGGTCTTCATCTCAATGAAACCTTTGAAGAAGGCCACGGGATGGGGTCTTTGAGCACCAGCAAGAAATGACTTGCCTCCAATCTCTAACCAGGCCAACGCCCACAGAACAGATTGGCACATCCTTGCACCAAAGACTCTCCCTCAAGTCTTTGAACAAGAAAATCTGGTTTGCCCACCAAATTAAAAAAAATGCCACCTGCCAGAACAAAGCCAATGCTCCCTGCAGATGACACCAATCACCAGGGGCCCAAACTTGCAGGGCCAACCCATCCCACGGCCCTTTGCCACATGCCTAACCTCACCTCCAAGTCCTTCTCGAGCTCCAGCCCAGCCTCCATCAGGTTGTGCTCAAATTCCTCTCGTTGCTCCTTCTTCTCCTCCTCCAGGGCATCGAGTGGCCCCAGCTCAATATCACCGTGGCCCCCAGCATGAGGTTCCTTGCCTGTCTCCCCATTAGAGACAATCGCCAGCGACTGGCCAGGGGAGCCCAGGCCAGGTTGCACCCCACGTTTCCGGTAATGGTAGGTGAGCACGTAGTCGACCTTCCTCTGGTTGTCGTGGAAGTGCATGCGGCTCAGACAGGCCTCCGAGGACACTGGCTCGTTAGCATCCAGGTAGTTGTTGATGACCTGGAAAGAGAGAGAACAGGACAGGGACAGCGAGGTCCAGTGAGGAAGAGCGAGCGACGGAGGAGGCTGACCTTGTGCTCTGGGCCTGGGGAGGTGGACCAGGAAGCCCCTCAGGCCCAAAGGCCCCAACTCCCCCAGTAAAAGCACAGAGTGGCCTACGTTCTGCTGCCACACCCAGCCCACACAGCCCTCCACCCACCTGTCCACAGCCCGGCCACCAGTGCCCTCAGACCCGCTCTGGCAACCACGCACACACGGACGCTCGCGCACACGGACTGAACATGCAGCAGCAAAGCCCTGTACGTCTGTGCGTGCCCTCACACCAGAGCCACACAGAGCACCTACACACGGCACCCTCACACCAGCTCCCCTGCACGCACATCTGTGCACACTCCCAGCACCCCAGGGCACTCTGACACACACACAGCCCTCCACACGCACTGGAACACACCCACACATACCCATCTCCTTGCAGCTCTGCTGGCCGGCCTGCAAACACACGCGTACTTCCACACACAGATTACTCACCGGCAAGTTCTCTGGATCCATTGGAACAAAGGGCAATTTCTTCTCACCGGGTCCACCCCAGGCCCACCCCACAGGGATTCACTCAACACTATGTTCCTCTCAGACCCACATCCTCCTCCTCCTCCTCCTCTGCAGCCACCAGGAGGGACCCTGCCAGAGACCGCAGCAGGGGGACCAACTTCTGCTCTCAGCCAGCCCGGAGGTGGGAGGTTGAGAGAAAAGGAGGGGAAAGAATAAGGCGGAGCAGGAGAGGGACCTGCCTCCCTCCCTGTGGGTGTTTCCCTGTTTATTACTGGTTTGATACCCATCTGCTTCTGCAGCCACCTGAGAGGTCACCTGGGCAACCAGATGAAGCGCCAGGCACAGGGGAGAGCCTCTGAGCAGCCCCGGCAGAGGTCTGGGTCCTCAGACCTGTGAGGGGAGCCAGGGAGTCTGCAGACCAACAGGTGGGACCACGTGGCCTCTCACACCTCCCCTTCTCTATCTGTCCTCTGCCCATGAGACTCCAGCGTGGCTGGGACTTGGAAACAGAGAGGAAAAGGCTCTCACAAAAACCCCGGGCCTATTTCTCTCTCCCTCTCTCTTTCACATACACACACACACACACACACACAAATACACACACCTGCCCCCCAGCTGGAGGGTGCCCCAGTCAAGAGGCTCCCTTGGGGCCCCCAGCAGGGCCAGCCTTTACCCCACCCCAGCACTCACCGAGCCGCTGCGGGAGCTTCCTCCCCGTGACGGCGGGCCAGATTCTCCGTCAGAACTGCCCTGCTGGCTGGGGGCTTGAGGACCCGGCACCTTGAGGTACTGCTGTCCATGTTTGGGGCCCTGGCCTCCTCTGGCCACTGCCCGGGAGCTCAGCCGGCGTGGGGAGCCAGGGAGCAAGGGGATATCTGTGAGAGGGAAAGACAAAGGAGGCAAAGCAGCTTCAGGTGACAGGAAACCCAGGACACAGAGAAACTGAGGCACTGAGGGAGGGAAATTGGGAAATCCCTAAGAAAAAGGCCACACCTCCTCACAGCCTTGGTTAGCCAGAGTCACCCTGGCCACAGGGCAGGGGAGTGTGTAGAAGGAAGCAGTGGGATGAGGAAGAGAGTCTCACTCACACACACACACACACACACACACACACACACACACAGAGAGACACACACACATACACACACACGAACATACACACAGGGCCTGGAGCCACCAGCAGAAGCTCCTTCAGATGATGGCTGTCATAATCTTATAAGTCCCAGACAAGATGAGACAGCGGCTCAAGTGAGCCAGGGTGGGTGGAGCACTCCCTGAAGAGACACCCTGAATTCATGCCAAAGGCTTGAGTTTTAGGGTCTCTCCCAGGGCAGCCAGGCCAGCCAGCACCCTGACCAGCTCTCACGCCCCTTGAGGAGAGAGCAAGGACAGACAGACCAACTGTGGGTCCCCTGAGGGCCGAAGCCTGCTCTGACAAAAGCCTTGTCTCCAATGCCCTTGAGGGGTTCCCATGCACCCGCTGCCTCCACCAAGGCCTCGGACCTCCACAGCCCCTTCTCAGCCCTCCCCAGAGCAGGCCCCCTAACAACCTACAGTGGGAGCCAGTTCTATTTCAGAGAATTTCCAGCTTCACCCCTGGAGGGAAAGGACACAGGCTGGTGACAGAATTGCAGAATGTCAGAACTGGAGGGGACCGGAGCATTAAATACACCACTTTGCACCAAAACACCCCAGACAGGGCCCACGAGCGGCCAGGATCTCGAGGCTGACCAGACCCAATCTGTCCCCAACTCTGAGAAATACTCTCCAGCCAAGCAGCACAGCGCGGGGTGCCTGGGCTTACCTCTCAGCTCTGCCACTTGCCCTGAGACCTCTCTGAGCCTGTTCCTTCCACCTGTAACATGAGAATCCCAAACTGGCAGGGTTGTGGTGAGAAACCGAAGGAGAGATACATACGCAAGACACCCAGGGCAGTCACCAGCCCCCACATGTGCAATGAAAGGTGGTGATTATAATTATTATCCTTTTCATTTTGAGCTGCGTGTTAGAAGAAATCACAGCAGGGACATCCAGCTCAGCCCTAATACCTGCTACAAGAAGGAATGAACAAAAAGCAGCTTGGAACTGAGCTTCTGACCGGTTAGTCACCAGGTTGCGGCACAGCCCCTTATGCGCCCGGCTCTCTGCGGGACAGCTCGCGAGCCCTAGAACACTCGTGCCTGTATTGGATAACCTGATCGTCTCTCCATGAAGACAAAGCCGGCAGGCAGGAAGCACAACGAGGGCCGGCGGAGCAGGGCTCTCATAAGTCACTTCTACAACCGTGGGCTCTGGTCCCTACTGCGGGAGACCAGCAAGGCTGGAAGGTTTCCAGAGGAACTGAGCCTGACGCTGGTCTTGAAGGGTGGACGGGTTCTGAAAGGCAGGGGAGGGAACACAGAAGGGCAACAGTGGGTGTGCTTGCTGGTGGCGGGACGGAGGGGCCGCAGCTCAGGATGGCAAGGGAGGGGCTTCCTTCCTTGGTCCTTCATCTTGCCTTATCCCTCTCCCATTGTGCCTTTCCTCATGCTTGCCTACCACCTGGCCCAGGGCAGAACTGAGAACAGGGCTCTATGGCCCAGGGAAGGCTTGGAAACCTCCAGATGTATGTCAAAAGAGCCCGAGACCCCCCTGATGTATACCTGAGCAGATGACAAAGGTGACGCTCACTCAAGCATCCTGGACAGCTATATTCCCATTCACAGCTGTGACTCAAGGTAGCTCAGATTCAGAGTCAGCCCCGAGTTTTCGTCAAACCACTCTCCAAGAGCCACAAGCCCCTGAAGGTACAACCTGGGGTTTGAGGCTGGCCTCCAGGGCCCCACCAGCCATCCCAGCAGCTCCCTCTGCTTGCCTCTGACACATGGACCACGGCGGCCTGAGGCCCTGCTTTCATGCCCACCTTCTCCCTGCTACACCCGACAATGAAAACACAGCATATGGCTGAGTTGTTCCAGCTCCAGAAAGACACACCAGGCAGTGATGACACAGAGGTGGAGAGACCCAAGACGGCTGGCCACCATGAAATGGGGGGGCGGGGGGGTGGGGGGTGAGTGAAGCCTGGGCATCAGGACAAACAGGGCAGGTGAACCCACTACATAGGACTCCTCCAAGAAGCTGAAAAAAGGTGAACTGAGTCTGATCGGAAGGACAGGCCATCATATACAGCCTATGGAACAGGTTATCCATTTGAAAATGATCTTTCCTTCATTGACCCTTCACTTGGCTCTTGGCGGAGGCTGTCTTGCACAACAGATCCCTGGCTGTGCAGGACTCAGCTGCCTCCCTGGGCTCTGGGTGCCATGGGGGACATGGCTTACCCACCTCTGGATCAACTGGATGGATTTTCACAAGGCTTGGACCTGGGGCCTCTTCTCTACACTCTCACTCTATGCCTGGATACTCTCATCCACTCCTACAGCCTTAATTATCACCTATGTGCTCATGACCTTCAGCATTTTATCTTGAACCCTTATTTTCTTCTAGCCCCTGGATCCAAACATCCTCCTGCCTACCTGGCATCTCCACCTGGATGCTTCAGAGTCCCCTTCAAAACCTACATGTCCAAAACCAAACTTATGACCTGCTCTGCAAGAGGACTCTCCTCCAGTATTCCCCGACCCTATGAAGGCCATCGCTACATTCAGCCCCCAGACCAGAAATCCATAGGCAGCCCTGACAGCTTTCTGCCCCCATGCCCACAGCCACTGTGTCACCAATCCTAGGAATTTTACCCTAACTATCCCCCAAATCCACCTGTTTTTCACCACCTCCCTGACTAGCACCCTAGTCCAAACTACCATGCTCATTCAGCTGGCTTACTCCAACAGCCTCCCAACAAACCCCCCCCCCACCCCACAGCTGCTACCATCGCTCTCCTTCACTATTCCCCAAAATGGGGGAGGGGGGGCGGTCCTTTCAAAATGTCGACCTGGCTATGACACCTGCATACGTGAAGACTTCTGGAGCTTCCCACCACTCTCAAGCTGCGAGACCCTGCATAACCCGGCCTGCTGATATCTCCACCTCACCTCTCCCCGAGTCCTGCTGCGTCTCTGAGTCCCAGCCATGCTGCTTTGTTGGCAGTGTCTGGAATGCACCACACTCTCTCCCAGCCCGGGGCCTGACCCATGTTCCTCCCTCGGGCTAGGACATGCTTCTTTGTCTAGCTGTGGGCCACCTGCTATTTTGGTTATGAGGAACCCAGAAAATCAAAAGTAATGCATTCCTGTTTCAAAAAGCTACTGCTCAAGGTCTAAGACAGAAATATTCAGATACTACAGGCAAAGCTAATGTGCTTCCTCTGCAGACAAGACTGAAGTTCCCCAAGCTGAAGCAGGGCAAGGCCTCCGAGCTCTATCCCATGGACTCCACAGGCCAGCAGGGAACCGCAGAGAGTGGGGCATTTATTGTCTGGGGTCATTGAAAAAAGGTACCCATGGGTGGCAGTCCATTGATTGTCCAGTCAAAGGAACCCCTCTGTTCCAAGCTTTTGCCCAGATCTGACCACTCTGACCAACTCCCCCAAATGGGACTAGTCCATCCTTCAGCTGTCCACACCCTCGCAAGCCTCCTAGAGCATTAGGGTGGGGGAAAGGAAGGTCCTCCTCACCTAGTCAAAGTGTAACCAGATGAAAATGACCAGAGGCCTCCCGCTAAGCATGGACAGAGGGCGGCCCCAGCTTGGCTGCAGCTGCCCACCTCCACCGCTGCCCCTGATCCATTCTCCTCCTCCACCTTTAGGGGAACCCTTCCAAATCATATGGCCCCACTCTCCCACTGAAAGCCCTTCAGTGGCTCCCCATTGCCAGAGCAGAAAACCTCTACCATGAACTGAAAGGCGCTACACGTATCCTCCAACCTCGTTCCGCCCTCCTTCCCACTCCCCTCTTTGAAGCTAGAGTCTTTCTGAATATTCTTATTTGCTCCATTGGCTAAGATGCTGAAGTACAGAGGAACCACAGGGGCATGTGACAAGCCAGGGGGAGGAGGGGGCTGCACTTTTTGAGGAGGGCAGTGTTCTGGTCTTAGCCTGCTGTCTGGAGGACCTGCCATCTGAGTGGTTTAAGGCCACAGCCGACACTCTTTTTCAGGCCAGGAATAAGAAATTCAATAAATGTCAGCCTGTGATTTGGGACTACATGGGTGTTGTGGGGAGGGAGCTATCTACAGACAACTAAGAAGTGCTAGGTCGACAACCACATTGCTCTCCATCCCACTCCACAACCCTCCCAGGCCTCGCCATCAGCATTCTGCCACACAGCGAGCCCCACGCTGAGCCAGGGGGACTCTTGGCACCACATCCTGGCATTGCCAGTTTCAGAAAAATAATGTAATTTCTCTTATGTTACTTTCCACTTCCACAACTGAGAGGAGGGTGTCATTATCATATCTTTTCTCCACAGGGTGAGTGTGATGATACAGCAGGAGGAAGATGACAACTCCTCAGAAGCACATGAGCTACAGAAAATGCAAGGGATCATTACCAAATCCTACTCCAGGGCCTCAGGGCCTGCCCCTTCACCTGCATCTGCCCACCCTGACTTCTCCGCTTCATACCAGTCACTCGGCCCTAAGTCCCCAGAATTCCCCTTCTCTGCCAACCACCTGCCTGCTTACTATTCACCTCCTCCTGAAAGCTCTCCTAGATGAGGCAGGAGAAGCACCAGCTGTCTATTCCCCATTACTACAATTTCCTCTCTCATCTGGGACCACCACACACTTTCTTAGCCTTTAGAACCCACGATTTCGGGGGCAAACTCTGTCCTTTCCAGATAGATCCAGCCTCCACCACCCAGGAGGGCTGCAGGTTCCTGAGGCTGCACTACAGAGGCAGATAAAGAAGAAGCAGGATCAGAGACCTGGAGGGAAAGGA